ACACTGCCACACACACAGCCACACTCAGAGCTTGCTGGCAGGAACATGCTGCTTCCCCTGTGAGAGCTGAGACGTAATGACTTCCAGAGCCCCGTGAACAAATAACACAAAATATCTGTTTATGCCACTAAATAAATCCAGCAAACACCGGTATCAATCTTTATTTATATAGCACTGTTTTAACCACAGGGTTTACAAAGTGCTTTACTGACACTTAAAAGAAAGAGAATTAAAATAAGCTTACAGGCAATAACAAGCACAGTAAAAAAATTAAATGGAATCAATTCACCACTCAAATTCTTGGTAAGGGACTCTAGCCCCTACCTCACAGGGGAGTCTACTCCTACCTCACAGGGAACTCTACTCCTACCTCACAGGGGAGTCTACTCCTACCTCACAGGGGACTCTAGCCCCTACCTCACAGGGGACTCTAGCCCCTACCTCACAGGGGACTCTACTCCTACCTCACAGGGGACTCTAGCCCCTACCTCACAGGGAACTCTACTCCTACCTCACAGGGTACTCTACTCCTACCTCACAGGGGACTCTAGCCCCTACCTCACAGGGGAGTCTACTCCTACGTCACAGGGGACTCTACTCCTACCTCACAGATGACTCTAGTCCCTGCCAGATTTCCCATTAAAGCTGTGGTTTCTCCCAAGTAGAGAGTAATTCCTTACTTGTCCCTGTAAGCAGGAGCAGGGGTAGGAGATAAAGGTAGCATTTAGCAAACAAACATGGGCTGTTGATATGGGACGCATGAGCTCCAGCTCAGGTCACGAGGAGCTGGATGTACGGCATCTCAGGGAAGCATGTCCGACTGGTGTCAGGCGGGAGGTGATCCCGGGGAAAGGGGGCCTGCGAGGGCCAGACAATCGGCACCGTGGCTGGATACCACACAGATTTGTTCTACATCTCCTTCAACCTGGAAAACCAGACAGGATGACCAGGGAAAGGCTGCGTCACGGCAGAAACTGACTGACCTGGACATCAGAGAACAAGATTGAATTAGGGGGGGTGAATTGGGAGGAGGAGACATTTGTGAGTGGTGCCCTTTGGCTGTCACCGGCTCGGCGCCCGGTGGCCGTAAGTCACATTGGCGTGTGGGGGCTAAATAAACGATGCCGTGGTTGCAGAAAAGATGGGCGCTGGTGAGGAAGCAGCCAGACCCTGGTGTTGGGGGGGATGACATTGGTGCAGCCAGACCGCACACAAGGAGACGCAAATATGCTGGAAGGTTCCTGAGTGCTATGCTGACCAGGCCAGTCAGGAAAAGTAGCCTGTCGGGACACACCCTGTCCGACATCCTGAGTGCACTCTGATATACACCCACTGCTCACTCCTCGACCACACCGGGCTGTCCGGAACAATCTGTGGAGCTCTCTGTTATCTGTACATCCGCCGGACCCACCACTGCGAGCATGTGGGGGTGGCAGTGAGCATGTTTTTTCCTGGGAAACCTCATTGCCAGTATGCACTTATCCCCCCTCCCCCCAATATCCCGCCTCCACAGCAGAGTCAGGAGGCATCGGTGCCAGAGCTCTGTTGGAAAAGCAGGGAAGGCCACATGAGCAGAGAGAGACCACCAGTAACAAGGCCAGAGTGGGGCTGGCCTGGAGACAGGAAGTGACATCACGGTGCTCACGCCCACGTCCTCTCTGGCTGCCGTGTACCAACATCAGGCACCGCAAACAAGTGAGTGGAGAACCGGAGCGAACCGCATAACGGCAGAGATCTCGGCACAGAATGGAAATGTGTGGCATTCTGTTGCCATGGAGACACAAAACGGAAGATGGAATCCCTGATGTGACGAGGCTACAAACATAAATCAAATAAAAATAAGATATGTCAAACCACATACTGCCTCCAGTGTTGCCTTTGCTGTGATTAAACATGGTTATCAAAGCTCACAGTGCTCACACTGGCCTGAGAGTGAGATCTGGAAGCAGGAAGGAGCCTTTTCAACTGGCAGGACCAAAGGTGTCGGGCCAATACAGATGGGTGTGGTTCTGCATGTGGCTAAACTGCGGCTAACACTTATCAACACAACTGGCCTCATGTGGAGCTTTAGCGCTGTCAAAAACCTCAGCACGTCCGTGCCAAGCCAAATATCCTTCCGCTGACTATACAACTGGAAAAGGGTCCGATGGCAACGAGAATATTCATTAATATAAATCAACAGAATGGTTCCATGTCTACGAGGAAAGAATGACCTTTACGGAGCTGATATGCAGTTTGAACATCAGCAGTTTGGAAGTCAGAGAATGAAAAGTAAAGACTGGAATTGAGTTATTAATTCCAGGAGAGACTGTAACACATGGCCTATGCATGTGAAAATTCTGCAAGCAGGTTGATTTTCACTCAAACTGATTGTCGGTCACCCTACCTAGAGATGCAGATGTAAACATACCCGCCTCACTGTACCAGTGCTCCCAAAAGACAAGAACAACACAGCCCTCACCCGGGACAAACTCTGACATCACCTCTGGTGGTTCCTGTCATACCAGGGGGTGGGCTGATAGGACAGGAAGCCCCCACGTGAGGGTCTTCCAGTTCGGGGCTCTGAAAACCTTCACTCATACGCTGATCCCCCCCCACAGCCAGCTGTGCTTTCTCCGGAAAGGTGGTCCTGACTTTTCCTCATGGCAAGGATATGAGATAACATTTAAACTTTCCAAAAGGAAGGAATTCATTCCGTGTGTGAGACTGAACGTGAAAAAAATCCAACAGCCTGTCCTCTCTAAGGATATATTTTTTTGTGAATACTTCTTGGAAAGGGGTCGGCAATGGAAAACTTTATTATTGACTCATCTTGACAGGAAAGTTAACACTGTGGTTTTCTGTGGTACTTAAAAAACAACAATATAAACATTCATCTTGAGAAAACACTGCATTGTGATTGTGGAGCTCAAACGGACAGTGAAGCAATGGAACCTCCCACCAGAAGGGGGCGACAAAGCAGCATCTGTAACCAGGAGCAAGACAAGGACCAATAGAGCTGTTGACATCCTACACTTGTCTGTAGCCCTGGGGGACTTCCTGCCAGGGCAGACAGGGCACAAGTGTAGGTCGTGTCAAGCACCAGAGGTGCAACGGGAGGCAGTGAGGCAGGGAGGAGGAGATGCTGGTAGGGTGATCCCTCTGCCACCATTTTCTCCTCTGCAAACAAAGGACGTTTCATCCCAGAGGACGCAGGGATGAGAATACTGATGAGGCCCCAATAGGAGTATAACCTGAGCATAGAAAGAGGGAGACAGGGAGGGAGAGAGAGGAAGGGGGGAGCCATAGAGGGAGAGGGGGGGGAGCCAGGGGGGAGAGCCAGTGAAGGAGGGGGAGCGGAGCCAGGGGGAGGGGGGGCGGAGCCAGGGGAGGGGGGGCGGAGCCAGGGGACGAGCACATCGTCCACCTGCCAGCCCAAACTGCTTAAATATTTAATGGGAAAAACACATTGTCTATTGCTGCTTCTCAAGTCACTAGGCCAGAACAAAGCAGCCCTTAGTGTCAGTCCTACACATAACACCACTGCCCCCTCATGCAGACCCCTCCCATTCCACGCTGGAAAGGGACTAACAATACAGAGACTCAGGGGCTCAGAAAACCTTGCTTTTTTCCCCAAAGAGATCAGCTCATGTCAAGGGTCCACAGAAGACATGGTGGCATATCAGAGCACAGTACGAGGGGGAGGGCTTCCTTCAGCCCGGCCCCCCACCCCAGTGCATGATGGGATGGGCTGGCACCTTTATGGATGAAGTGTAGGAATGTGTGGAGTTGGTATGCTGACGGAAAGCTCTGGAAGTCTCCTCTCATGCCTGTGGGTGCTGGCTTTCATGGAACAAGCTTGCCACAGAACACGGGACGTCGGACACCGACAACCCCGTGTGGGGGGGGGCACGCAGCCATGAGCCCCGTGTGGGGGGGGGCACGCAGCCATGAGCCCCGTGTGGTGAACGGAACCAAAGCAGCCCGAGAAGCTGCTCCCTCCAGTCCTGCCAGCCACCCGCCAGACTCTGAGAGATTACAGCCGGAAAGGCGGCACCATCTGCGCCCCGCGCTCTGCGCCCCGTGGGAGGACGGGCACATATCAGCCGGGTTGGGGCGCTTCTCACACAGCCAGGAACTCTGGGATAGCCTGGCCAGGAACCAGGATTGAGGAGGACATTTGAAACTTGGTCAGAGGCTCATTTACCCCCCTTTAGGTGCTGAATGACATATGTAACCCCCATAATTTAAAAAAGGAGACTTTAACAGAGACTGTTTCTAGTCTCTGTACTTGGAGGACATTCTGGCACACATGACTGGCCTGCTGGAACGGATCAAGGCGATCTGGCTGCACGGGCTCGATGTGGCCGACCGGCCCAGTTAAGCCAACGGCAAACACTCTGAATGGGAGGCAGATGGGGCCTCTTAGCCGGCGCCGATTTACTGCATTTTACCTTTTCGGTCCTGGGTCAGTTCCGTTAGTCACTGTCGCTGGGCAGAGATCTACACTGATAAGCAAACTGGAGTTGGAACTCGTGTTCGGATTTCCTGAAAAGGGCCCTCATGCAGCCAGGCGTCCCGGTTAACAGCTAGACGCATTCAGCCATTCCTTCTTGGCACGAGAGCCCATTTTGGGAGGTTAATGCCAGAGCAGATCTGACAGGCGGGTCTGATTTTTTTGGGGGGGGGGGGGGGAGAAAAGCGGCATTGTTGATCAGGGGGTGCCGCCGGTAAAAGCTGTCAACCGGGGGGGAGTAATTGTACTTGGGTGGGCACAGACGGTCATTTGGGGGGAGCTAGGACCCTCCCCATGGCGCAGAGAGTAATTCAGGGCTTGCTGGCACGTAAATTTGCGAGAGGCCACACACAGCAGAAAAAACGAGCCAAACAAGCACAAAACAAGCATAGAACATTAACCCACAGCATTCAGCGTGTCTACTACGGGGACGTGGGACCGTTTAACCTCGCCCAGTAAATTCAGCTTTGTTCCAGACATAAACAATAACGGCCAACAATTATGTTGGGGGGGGGCTTAAAATAGCTAATGACCCCGTTACCAAGGCAGCAAGGACGTCTGTCTGTGCGGCCGGGGGCCACATGACTGACCTCAGAGGAGCACACACCCCAGGGTGGCTCTGCAGCCGGGCTTGCAGGACGAATTTATGCAGGCCTGCGGGAGTCGGCTTGCCTGGGCGGAGTCAGCAGGAGGAGTTTATGCAGGCCTGCGAGAATCGGCTAGCCTGGGCGGAGCCAGCAGGAGGAGTTTATGCAGGCCTGCGGGAGCCTGCAGGTCCCGCAGCGGCGTCTCCTCAGCCTCTAGCCTCTTACAATTCACTGGCCTGCACTTAATGTACAGGAAATAAGATTTTAAACCTCAAAATCCGACCCCCCCCCCACCCCCGCTTTAGTCACCTGGCCATTAGAACCTCTCTCTCTCTCGAGGAGTTAAACTTCTAGTCACTCCAGGAGGGCTTTCTCTGATTATACCTGTTTGGGGGGGGGGGGGTGGTTATGAATCTGTGGTTCTAGGTTTAAATTGTTCCACATAAGATAACAGAACGCAGAAAACGAAACGAGTGACCAGGCTGCGAGTGAACAGATCCCCCCAGACTCCCCCCCCCTCGCAAATCCACACAGAACCCAGGACCTCTCAAAGTATCATATCAGAGGTTGCTTAGTGTGTGTGTGTGGGGGGCGGAGTGTACTAACACAGCTGTAACACCCCCCCCCGGGCCTGTTTAATATAAATTCTTCAGTTACAGTCTGTCGGGGATTGAACTGACTAATGACGCAAATTATGGCAGGGATGAGATATGATTCCGATGGGGGAGCCCTTCCGGGAGGCATGGGGGCTGGGGGGGGGGCAGCCCTCCAATGATCACCATTATCAGACCAAATGCTTCCCCACACAGGGGTTTATCAGCTCAGAGTCACATCACTTCCTCACTGAAAGCCCCTCTTTTTAAAACGCGCTTCACAGTCTCTGATCTGGTCACGGGACTGACACAGGCGGTGATAACCTTCAGCAGGACGTCCATCCTGGCGGGGGCCATCAGAATCCTGCCAGTGGCCGAGGCCCCCGCCAATCTATAGCATTAGAATAACAGCACTCCTGAGTAGCAACTTATTTCTGACTTTTCTCATTGGCCAGTACAGGCTGGTCACATGACCCCAGGTCATATGGGCACCCCTACTGTACAGGTGCCCCCACAGTGGACCCTGAACCCTGGCAGAAACAGAGCATCGCAAATCATACACGCCCCCCCCCCAACCCCCAAGATGTTTGATATGTGTAGGACGAGGAGGAAGAGGAGGAGGAAGACGACTGCCACGTCAGTGTTGAGCAGCTGCAGCAGAGGCAGCACATAGTACCGGTCTGTCATAAAGCAGCTAAACTGTAAACTCTGTGTCTCTCTTCCATTGAGCGTTAGTATCACCCCCCCCCCACTCCCCCCCAGCCTGTGGCAGAGGTGTTACATCCCAGCTGGACTTAGAAGTAGTTCTGTTTTTTTTTTTTTCTTTTCTTACAAGAGGAGCCTGCTGTGGGCTTTGGGTCGGAGGGTGTACAGTCTCTGTCAGCGCCCCCACCCCCCACCGCTGGCCACAGGCACAGAAAACACAGAGGAGATATGGGAGCGGAGGCGTCAGACCACAGTGAGTGGGCACGTCGGGGTGGGGGGTGTAGCGCGGCCAGCAGGAGATGCTGCAAAGGGGATGCACAAAGGTGATGCATAAAGAGGATGCACAAAGGTGATGCACATCCACCGCTTCGACTCCACAACCTGAGAGACGAGGCATCTAAAGGTCACATTACATTAAGAAGGAATTCGCTGTGTTTTCATTGGGTTAGTTTCAGTATCTCTGCACGGCTTGCTGTTACCAAAGGACAGGAATTCTAGAAAGTTCCATAAAGACCAGAAAGAGTAGGTATAGAGTGACATCTACTGGCAAAAGACAGGCTGGCATTTGAAAGGCACTGGATAATGCAATGCTATTTTTATATTACTGTTATATAATCTGTTTAGGGTTTGACAAATAATTCCTTTTGGTAATTAATTGCTACTGCTTGTGACATCTCATTACTGATTCAAAGTGTCAATAATGAGTTAGCAAATAGCTAAAAGTCTTCTTAATCTAAATTAGCTCTGATAGGCTACATTTGCTATCTGAATGGCATAGCACAGTTAGGGTTACAGTCATTGTGAGGTCAGCGTGAATCAGCCACCTTACCCCCTCTCTGCCCTGTCCCACTGCCAAGAAGATTTCATGTTTGCTCCTACCTCAGTCAAACCCACTTTGCCTGTCCAGTGTTTATCACAGTTAGCTCATTAGACACCTTCATCTGAAGCACCAGAGCCTGCTTTTACGTAGCCTCACACCCCGTAGCTCACTCCCACCCCTCTCTGTGTGGCGTTTGCACGTTTATCACAAGTTCCTGTAGGCTTCCTATACAGTGCCCCCCCATCACGTTCCCTGTACTTTATGAAGATCCATCCATCCATCCATCCATCCTTCTTCTATACCTACTTGTTCTATGCAACGTCAGAGGGGTCCGGAGCCAATACCAGAAGCTATGGACACAAACCAGCACCAACCCATTGCTGGGTTCATTCACACACCAGTCACTCACACACGCAGACCTACAGGCCATCTGGTAACTCCAATTAACCTCTGCATGTTTTTGTGGGGGGGAACCATAGAAACTATAGGAAACATGCAAACTCTGGGGTGGAAACTAGGGGGAAATCTGCTGTCTCCAACTTAACCCTGTGCTTACAGAACATGGGTGGATGATTCCTTTTCCCATTTATACAACCTGGACGATGTGGAGATGCTGAGTTTTGGGCCAAAGACATGGATCCCGCGTTTATTTCTCCAGCTCCGCGACACCCAGAGATGCTGGCAGGAGCCGCAGACTTACATTTCATTTACCAGGTCGGGGGGGCCCTGCACCTGCCCCACCACGGTGCCCTTGGAGGTGTTCTTCACCCAGCCGCACACGCCCAGCCTGCGCCCCTTCTCCTCGGAGTACTGGCACACCGTCCCAGGGAAACGGGGCCGACAAAAGAGCAGAAAAACCCGTTAGTGTCTCTGCACACCTGACTTTCACCTCTCTGGGCCAGCACTTGCCTTTTCACTGGTGGTGCTTACAGAAGGCCTGCTTTTCACTGGTGGTGCTGACAGAAGGCCTGCTTTTCACTTGTGGTACTTACAGAAGGCCTGCTTTTTACTGGTGGTACCTTCAGAAGGCCTGCTCTTCACTGGTGGTACTTACAGAAGAAGGCCTGATTTGACTTTCACAGTTTTATTTTCCAGACCCAAAATTATGAGCCATTATAAAATTTTGTAGCTATTTTGAGAAAAAAAATCAAGAAAACGCTTTATTTTCAAAATATACTGGCTAATTCTCTTACCATTCTGAAACAGACACCTGAAAGGGAATAGAACACAAGATATAAACAAGAGGAGACATTAATTTAATATTAATTACATAAAGGTATATGAATAGACCTATTGGTTACAGGAACATTATATCACTTACAAAGCACCTATCCTAACCTATCCTTTAAAAACCTGTTCGCTGCAAAACCAAAAACATATTAATGAAGATTCTGGGTCCAAAACTATTATTTTTGTGAGTAAACATTCGGTGTAAATAAGGATTGAGGTGAAAATTATAATGGAGCCTTAATAAACAGGGGAGAATTTAAATTTACATTTTTAAAAATCATACTTGCTTTTATATTCCTGAGAGGAAAACATGGTAGACCGATATACACTATATGGACAAAAGTATAAAAGACACCTGCCCATTACACCCACAGTAACTTTTATGACGTCCCATTCTAAATCCACAGGCATCAGTATGGAGCTGCTCCCCCCTTTGCAGCTGAAACAGCTGCCACTCTTCTGGGAAGGCTGTCCACAGGAGTTTGGAGTGTGTCTGTGGGAAAACTTTACTGTTGGCTCAATGCAGTCAGGCAGGTAATGTTCTCCTGGCATCCCCCAAACCCAGACTCATCCATAAGACTGCCAGACAGAGAAGGGTGATTTGTCACTTCATAGAACATGCTTCCATTGCTCCAGAGCCCAGTGGCGGTGTGCTTTACACCACCCCGTCCGATGCCTGGCACTGCGCTTGGTGATGTGAGCGTTGGTGACTCTTACACACTATGCACCTCTGCATTCGGTGACCGTTACTTTACATGGCTGCCGCTTCATGGCTGAGTTTCTGTTGTTATTAAAATCTTCCACTTTGCAATAATAACACTTACAGTTGACCCTGAAATATCTAGCAGGGAAGAAATTTCACAAACTGACTTATTGCAATGGTGGCATCCTATGACAGTACCACGCTTGAATTCACTGAAGTTCTTCAGAATGACCGATTCTTTCACAAATGTTTGTAAACCTGACTGCATGGCTCGGTGCATGACTGCTTGTGACTTTGGATCTGAATGAAACACCTGAATTCAATGATTAAGAGGCGTGTCCTAATACTTTTGTCCATATAGTGTATAAAAGCCTGACAAATCTGACTCTCCGTTTTCTACCGAAGTCACCAGCAAAGTCAAGGGTACACTGCAGTTGGAAAAACAGACGGTGCATTATTAATCCACATGAATGCATACCCTAATAACCCGAACCCTAATAACAACCCCGAACAAGTCAAAAGCCCAAACGCTTTTACGGAATTATAAGCTTGCATTAATAATTAGATATCTTAAGTTGTAACACAACATGTAAGAAAACCCAAGCAATATAATCAGCGCCAAGGACATGATCATTTCTGTCGGTTAACTCGGGTTAAGAGTGCGTCTCGCTTATACGTCCATCTTTGGTGCGCCTAAATTAAGAAGCGTTAAGGCACGGAACACCGGCACTGGTGCCGCGTTACCCTATAATGTTGAACGGGCACTGTGGGACAGCATACCTTGAACGTGCCCATATATCTCAAAATCCACAGATCGGAGTTTTTCCCCACCGTCGGTTGCCATGGTGAATTTGTTAAGATTAAGACTCCGACTCCAGCTAAAGATATCTAGCGTGCACTGGACGGGGGTCTCACGTTACAAGGCTTCTGGACGGTATTCAGAAAGGGAAGCTTTTCCCGCTAGTCAAACGCTCTCTTCTGGCTATCTGTACGTTACAGTGGTGTCAATGAATCACTACAATTAAGTTATAAAATAGCATTTACCAGTTAATAGATCGCCGAAAGATATAAATGTAGCCTAAAATATTTTTTTAGATTTCAATATGATAATCTCATGGGCGGTGTTTAAGAAATGGACCGGGAGGTCCCAGGATCAAACTGTGATTAAAGTGCAGTGATCAGAACTGATCAATCATACAGCAATTCTACTCATTCGAACCTCAACTCCATACGAGGCTCATAGTTCAAAATCACTAGAATGAAATCAAAAACATATCTAATAAAACAATTCGACATGAATCCTATCCTGACTCATCCCATCTCTAATAGGCTTTTATAAACGTCGTATATACTCCTTTAAGATAACAACAGACGAAATTTAAAGTCATGTTTAAAAATGCATCAATGGCCCACTAGATGGCGTAAACCATCCAGCTGTTTGCAATGTCTGCTCTGTAAGTTGCACGATTAAAAAAACAAGACTCTCGTATTTAAATGCCATCATCACAAATACTGGACAACAGAATAAAATACATTATATATTAGACTGCATGAAACTGCAACTGAAAATATGAAATACTTGCTGAAGCTTGCTTCTGATTGGTCTAGCTGTTCTCGTGGGAACTATTATTTTTTTCAATGGCCTTTGGGAAATTGAATGACATCCAGGCACAGAGCGACCTTATTCACCCTGCAACGCAGAAAGAAACACTGAGTAGAGTGGACACATCACGACGCTGCACCTCGGCTTAGATCCAGCTGTCCTGTGGCCAGTCACATACCAGTGCCTTTTTCCTCCAGACACTTTATGCCACCGCTTGTGCCCCTGTCATGCCCACACTGGGTAGCATGCCCTGTGCCTTCATTTGAGGCCACACTATTGGTCCATTAACTGCTCAGCTGATTAATGACATCATCAGAGGTGCGGCGGTTCTGGATGGATGGATGGATGGATGGATGGATGGATGGGGGGGGGGCGTCCTCACACTCACCCGTCAGTTACTGTGCCCTCCTTGTGGCATTAAGCCCATTTCTGCACCAAATCCACCGCTGTGTTAGTAGCCGGAGGGTGTAAGGGGGCATGTCTACCGTCTGCCCACAGCTACTGTGAGGGCACTCGTCCCGCCCTTACATAACCGACCACGCCCCCTCTCACCCAGCACCTTCCGATTGGCTTCCATCCCTGTGCGCGTAATATTTTTAAACTGCCGGATTTATCCACCAGAGTCGCGTCGGACGGCGAGTCCCCCGCGGTGCACGGACAATCCAGCAAAATAGCAGCCGATCAGCGCTTAAGCCTACCGCCAGACTGGGAGCGGCCGCTAATCTCCTGGAGGGATATCCGCACCGGGACGGAGATCAGGGCGGCCACGCGCGCTGCAGCCACGTCACGTGACCCTCACGGGCACGTCCTGATGGATTTACTCAGACAGCGGCGAATCAGGCAAAACCTGGGCAAGCTGAAACATTGTCCCTTGCGTTCAGTATTACTCACCATCTTTTTCCCTCTGCCCTAAACGGTCCAATTACATTCCCACCTATCCCTACCACTCTGAGTGTTCCTTTCATGTTGTATTTTGTATGGGAGGCTTCATTAGACATCACGTGATCGGCACCATGCTGCTGCTGCGTGTTTTGGTGGGGGGGCTGGGCTGGCAGAAAATGGAACAGAGGCATAACAGGAGATTTCAGGCAATCCCTTGTGTTACCATGGCTACCGATCACCTGTCTTGTCCCTACAAATGCTTTACTAATGAATCTTGCGTGACTCTGATTTGACTGACCACCTTTTGGGGTTAAATAGGGTCAATTATAGGGATTCTGGGGCACATAGGGGTTTATTTGTCACTCAAACAAGAAAGTCCTGCCACAGGGTCTGGGGGGAGGGAGACTGGCTGGTGTCGGGGTGGAACACGCTGAATCCATTTCTCATGATGCCGGTCTTTGTACAGTCTGTGTAATGCTCTGCTGTTTGCCGTTGTTTTTACGCCCAGCCATTAAACTAAAATATGACACTGCAAGTTGGTGGCTCGCAGCATTTCAATTAATTCAGCTCTCTGTTGAGACACGCACACGCAAAACCTACAAAGCATCGTGTCATTAAAGGGTTTAAGGGTCTGGCTTGATTTGCACAATCGCGGCGTAGGCGTGCACGCATCTGACCCTCCTCGTCTCAAACCCTACTTGCATTTACGCCGTGCCAGGTAGGGTCGGCAGCAGGGCATCTGGGAATATGATGTGCCAAGGACCTAAGTGCCACTCTGGAAACAGCTGCTGGCACCCAGAAAAGGTGAGCCTGGCATGGCGTGGGCATCCGCAGACACAGCTCGCACTAGTGACTCGCCTTGGACACGAGATGTCACTGCCCTGACAGCTGTGCACCCAGACGTGAAGCCACTGTGATCGCAGCGATAAAAATATTTACTCTATAATGACACCTCCCCCGGCACTGCCCCCCCCCGCCTCCGCCAACCCCCAACTCACAAGCCGCTGAGCCCCTGCAGCTGTGGCCTCTCTGTAGCCCCAATCCTACTAGACAACAAGCACATATATATTTTACAGGCTTGCTAAATTTAGAGGAGTTGGCAAGTGGTGATATAATTGGATTTCGCCCCCATTCACGCGTGGATGACTTCTCTGTCCGACGGGCCGCCTTCATGAGGCCCACGGTTTTTAGGTCGTCATGCTCATGCAGCCGCTGTGAAAAATGTCAAACTGCTGCTCTGGACTCGGGTGTTTCCCTCCCCGGGGATCGCCAGGGGCGGGGCTGGGCTAGGCGGAACCCAAGCGGCTGGCAGTTCTGACCGACCAATGGGATGGCAGGTGTGCTGGGAGACGGCGCAGATGACGTTGACAATGCTGCACGCAGGAATGCATTCTGAGCTTCCCAGATAAGCATTTCCGCAGTATTAGACCATTAACTCCTTACTTTCCGGCTGCATTTATGCAGCTGACGCTGCGGGGGGCGCTGTGCGGGAACATTGTGTTGTCAGAGGAAGCCTGTAGCACTGGGGGCTGTTTGTGCTCAATGACTGAAAGAAATTTCCTCCACAGAAGCCCTGACTGCCACCTTTTTTTACTTCATGTTTTTCATGGAAGTGTAAACATTGCATTATTTATTTATTCTGTATTATTGATATCCAAATAGACCTTTCATGTTCCCCGTCTGCTGTCACTGGCTGGACTGCCACTAAACATGCAGAGCCTCTATAGTTATATACTGTATATCATCCTGTGTCATTCCATCCATCCATCCATCCATCCACGCTGTGTAACCAGAACTGTGTCATGGTGATCGCACTGTATGAGGCTGCAGGACAGAGTGCCATGCTACCGTGCATCACAAATAAACGATCTCTGTATTCATTGCAATTTCAAAAATAGTGCAAGTGCACCTTGGGTAGCAAGGCCTTAAGGCTAAAGACGAGGAGAGGAAGAGGAGTACAGAGGACGTCTGCAAATCAGCAAAGACATTTTTGGACATGATCACATCCCATAATAAGACGAGTAAAGTAAAGAATGATGCAGATGAAAGGATTAGTATCTGAACAGCAGAAGGGACAGGCGCTTGTGGCCCTTCTGTCAGAGAGGAGTCAGAGTGGAGTCAGAGTGGAGTCAGAGAGGAGGCTTCAGTGCAGAACCAGAAGCTGCCATGTGTTCAGAATTGAGCAGAAGCTCATGCTTTACACAAAAGGATCAAACAATGAGCCACACCCTCAACCCTTCCTGCACGGGGTCCAGCCGGCCTGCAGATGTGCTCTGTAACCTACAGGGATGAATGACCATGATGCACACAGTGCACCTATATGGCCAGTACACTGAGGTTGTTGTTTTAGTTCTGAACCTTTGATAACCACTGTCAACAAAGATGTCAGAGATATCCATGTGTTTATCAGTTGGAAGCCATCTGCCCCGCATGAGTGGTCCGCTGATGCAGGCTTCCGCATGAGTGACTCACCCCGAATGGCACAGATAAACGGGGGCATCCCACCCCCCCCCCCCACCACCTCTATCGCCGTTGCATCTATCTGCTGCACAACCAAAGCAGCCTGTGAGGGGTGTGCCATCCCATTTCAAGGTGTGGGGGCATGGTGGGCCAGTTTAGACATTAAACAATGTGTCCCAGAGAAGAACAGCTTCCAATAAATCAGCAGATTACTCAGGTTACTGTACGCTTATCCAGTCTTGCCTAAAACCAGGTTCTATTGAATTATATTGATTATTTACATGTGAATTACCTATGAATGTATAATAATAATAATGATGATAATAATACATTATTTCGGATCCTAACTATCTGCATTGTTAAATAAAGCCTGCCTGTGGATGTGGACGCAACATCGACTGAGGATCTCTAGCTGACGAGAGACTCGCATTTACAGTACGGTCGCTAGTTCATTAGCGTAAGTCTCAGCTATACCAGCCCGTCTCAGCACATTAATAGCTGGCTTCTATTAACTGACGCGACATGACGCTACGTAGATGCTTATTCCCCGGGAAACGTTGCTGCCACATCCGCGCCGAGAAGCCTCGTCAGCCGATAGACTTGTCTGACTGTATTCTGCCCCCAGAGGCGGAATGTGTTATAACACTCCACTCTATTTATCATGGCGCTGTTATGAAATAATAGTATAAAAAACAGATATTAATTGGGGTTCACTATGTGGCTCAATTATCATTTCAGGTATCTTAACTTATTTACTGTATCCTGCTGTACTGGGTAAATAATTACTACTAGTAATAATGCTGCTCCCTAAGCAAACAAGGTCGCTTCTATGTAATTAATGGGAAGTACTATTAAGTTACACCATTTGTCACATGTCAAGCTAATTTATTTCGCCTTGAGCATTCCATTTCATTACCCAGACCCTCATCTGTGATCAGATGCTGAATCATTTTGCGTTAACATGAGGCCTTTCCGCATGATTCATAGACATGAAGAAGTATGTGGTCACAATCGCCTCAAATCACATCTTAATACTGGTTTGATTGAAGGAGTACAGTATAGTGGCTGGGACAAAATAATACACACCGGATGCTAAATATCAGTTATTTTGAGTTGCAGTCGCCAGTACTTCAAGCCACCACTAGGGGCCGACACTCCAATAACATTGAAGTAGTTAATCCAGCCGTGCTCTCAGCAGAACTGCGCTAACCCCGAAGAAATCCCAACAATTTCTCCAGAAAGAGAACAACTCTTTAATGCTCTTTAATGCTCTTTAATGCTCACAGTCCTACCCAGACACCTCTGATGCTTTGTTGTTTGTAAGCTGGCTTTTCAGTCTGGGTTGTCCCATCAGCCTTTGGATTCAAGTGATGGAGCGCTTTTGTGGAAGGTGCTCCAGTCTCCATCTGCCAACAGTCACGCGTGGGTATAGTCTGTCTAGGAGCAGGACAAGAGGCCATGCAACCAGAGCCAAAAGAAACTGGAGTTTTTAAAGAAATAAATATTAACTCAGAGAGTGCAGATGTACAACAGGCTATGCCTTTGGAAAACGATCATGGCAATGCGTGACCTGCTGTAAACATGTACACGTCATCTCCTCTGGTGATACTACAGTACACGCTAAAATCGGGGATTGGCACAGAGGAGCGTCTTGGGCAGCAGATATTCCATATACGTACACGTAATCACATAGACTTTGTTTAGTTTCACGTCCATGGGCATGCACCCCGTATTTAAGTTTTGTTATGCTAATTTGATATCTAGCTGATGATTTGGTAAAATCACCATCGATTAAATACAATACTAATACAGCATTTCATATATTAAATATAATGTTTTCAAATTTAAAAATTCTTATTGCGTTCATTAATTTGCATGAATAATTTTTAGAAAATTTCTGTGGAAGATACCAGAACATTAGAAACATGTAATTAGAAACGAGTCATTATCTAAACGTCACCGAAATAAGCAATAATCCGTTATTGTTAAATTTTATGTGACTATAATTGTCTAGTATAATTATCTAGTATAGAACTATATCAATGTATTTCCATTTAATAATTGTTGACAACAGAAGGTTACTAGGTTTAGAATAAATTTAGGTTTAGGTAAATTAGAGATCTTTCAATTATTTAAAAAAAATATTCGTTCATAGTGGAAAAAACAAAAAAGAGAAGCCGGTTCTTTTTGATAAGTTAATGACTCAGTCATAAGGCGCTGATTCAAATGTATTTTTTAGTAAAAAAAAATCGATTTCGATAACTTAAGATGTATAATCAAAATATCACTGGTAATATTCACATACAGTTCATATATTACGATAAATATTATCGAATGACGTAATATAAATATATATATACATTTGGATTTTAAAAAAATCAGCAATAATAAAAACCAAATGAATGACATATTACCTTAGGGCATTACCGCCTCCCAACTTCAGTGTTACGGGTTCAAATTCAAATCTTAATTCAGATCTTGACATATTTATCCATGGCGGGATTGGCTCCGAAACGCCGAAACTATTTAAGTAAATTTATTTTGGATTGCCTTTCTTTGACATATGAGTGCTGCGTTAATCACGTAAAATTCACTCATGCGTATCTAGATAAAGAAACACATTACATTGGTTTTCGAACATATGCAGGCGATATAATGTTCAAATAAAATATAAAACGATATTTTAAAAGTGAACGCACAAGTGAAAATGTCAACAAATAACGCACCTATTTTTGTGGTTTAAAGTCCATATTAATACATAGCCTACATGCATTTTCGTTGGGAATACGCCTTTGTTCTTAAATTTTCGAGTTGGCGTCTTATAAAACTACAGCAGAATCGTCTGAATTTCATTATACATTATTTCAACGTGCGCGAAACCTTTACAATCTACAGTGCGCTTTCGGGTGAAAAGGCTCACCGCCTACAGGGCGAAAATTAATTAAAAGATACACTAGGGGCGCTCAAGTTATGAGCCTGCTGCGTATCTTGGCGGATACTATATTTTCGATGTGTATTTGCAGCAGGAATCCCAAATATATTGGGATAGAAAACTGATGTGCATTTAAAACATAGGCCTATTATTCACATTTGCATTAAATGAGGAAAAGTGCAGTATAACGCAGAGAAAATGTAAACATTGAATATCTGAACTTTGGACAAAGCTATGTGCAACGGTAAGAAGACTGCATGCAATCTACCTATCTGTTGGCAGGGTATTTGTGTATTACAGCACTGGTTTGCACATTCACTCAAGCATTCAGTGCTGTCAGTAACAGCTTTCTCTCTTTCAGTCTCTCTTCTTTTTCACACACACGCGCGCGCACACACATACACACACACACACACACACACACAAAGCACGTGCGCGCTTCCATTTCGATGCATTTAATTTTCCGGGAACATGAACCATCTGCGCTACTGCGGTAATAGAAGATACAGAAAATAAAGGACGAGCCTTCTCAATGAGGCAGGACAGCTGGAAACATCCTAAAATTACCTCAAGTTGCTAGCTCCTCCCCTTCGGTGATGTCGTGGTAAGACAGAACCTCCTTAATTACTAATTTCCCCATCCCACTCCAAGCGCTCCTCTGTCCTAGAAGTTCCCTCATGCATGCAATGTCCTGATCCGATCGCGTCTGACCTTTTATTTTTTAAACACAAAACCCAAGACTTGCGAGTGCCCAGCATGGGAGATAAGAAAGAGCCGACAATGGTGCACAAATCCACTTCGTTTAGTATCAAGAGCCTGCTGCTCCCATCTAAATGTGACAAACCCGGCTTAGGGGTTCCAGAAAAAAACATCCCCCCTTCAGGATCCGATTCGGAAAAGTCTCTGGATCTCACTGAAATGGAATCTGCTCCGTTCAACCAGGAAAACAGCCAGAAAGACAAAGATGAGGGCAGCGACCAAGCTACAGAACCGAACAAAAACGGGAAATATGACAAACCACCGTTCAGCTACAACGCTCTAATAATGATGGCTATTAGGCAGAGTCCTGAGAAGAGGCTCACGTTGAACGGCATTTACGAGTTTATCATGAAAAATTTCCCTTATTACAGAGAGCACAAGCAAGGCTGGCAAAACTCAATTCGTCACAATCTGAGCCTCAATAAATGTTTTGTGAAGGTGCCAAGGCATTACGATGATCCTGGAAAGGGGAACTATTGGATGTTGGACCCCTCCAGCGATGATGTCTTTATCGGTGGGACTACAGGGAAACTTCGCAGAAGGTCGGCCACTTCCAGGGGGAAACTAGCAATGAAGAGGGGACTTCGTTTCGCTCCATTGGGGCTGGGATTGAACGACAGAGCGAGTAACCCCTTGTATTGGCAAATTTCGCCGTTTTTGTCTCTGCATCACCCTCATTATAATGGATCTTCGCCTGGATTTCTGAATCAAGGGCACGCATACGGCTCTCTGCTTTCCGGAGTTGAGCAATTAGGAAACGGAGACCTTGCCCGCCCGATTCTGGGAGGATCTACCGGAGGGATCAGTTTGACAAATAGTTACGGCGTGAGCACGTCTCCCGTTGGTTTACTGTCGGGACAGCCTGGGTATTTTGTGTCCGGCAGCCAACACGCTCAGCCGCTGCAGCCGGCCGGGACTGGGTTCGCGGTGTCGTCCAGCTCGCCTCAGAGCCTCATCTCAGAAACACTGAGAACGGCATTGCCTTCATTCACACCCGGAGCGTCGAGCGGATTTTCGGGACTTATGTCCCATCAAAAGAGAGTGGCGTCCAATTCTTTCTTAAACTGATCGGATCATTGCAAAGGGATTGGGGATGCACTTTTAAAACCACTGCAAACCTGGCGTTTACCCCCCTTAAATTGCAAAAAGGTAGAATTTACGTGATAGTGCGTCCACTTTGCAAGTAAACGACCCCGATACTAAGTTGTTATGGCCGTATTCATCTGTTCTAATCTGCGCTGCCGTTTTTTCTTTCATCTGAAAGGACGAACTTTAGTAGGTTACAGACTAACTAGCCTTTCCAAGGGTAAAAACGTGCGCTACTGTTATTTATCACCTGTAGAAAGAATTTCAGTTGTTTGTGTGTCGGTTAATTTATGTTTTATATTTATTATAAAATGTATTTAAATTTTATTGTTATTGTATATATCAACCAAGATCAACATACAGATACTTAAATTATTTATGTAAATATTCACTGTTGATTTTGTGGTTTTGAAATCGTTTCCTACAGTAAAAAGCGCCTTAAATTTACAAATCAGGGTTGTTCATATGCACGGGGGAAAATAGCCTAGCATACTCGTAGTTTGTATCTGCTCAGGTTCTCGATATACACTTCAGCCATGTAATGTACTGCTGTCCAATGTATATAACCTACAGTACCTAACAAGATTTATAGACATGTACAGTCTCCGTTTCTCTTCGGTCTGGGGCAAATATTTTTCTCTTTCTTTCTGCAAAGCCGGGGTATGTGGGTTATCATCTCACACTGATGCGCATGTCATAAGACACAGAAAAGTACACAGGCTTAACGCAGGGAAACTGAATACATTATTTACCTTGCTGATTTTTGGCTCATTAAAGAAACGTTTGATGTTTCGTTCATTCTGTTGTGTTGCTAAACAAATACCGTTATCGGGTGTTATCGAAAGACGGATTATTGATAGTTATGCTTTTACAAATGGGACTCTTGGGCCCGTGTTACAGTACAACGCGCTTTATGATTCCGTGTGTTGTCGGTGCGGATGGCCGCGTTACGGCTGATGAAAAGCGAGCTCGGCAGTTAAAATGAATATCGTGTTTCTTCTGTTCCCTTTCCCTTTCTAAGGAAATATACGGTATTTTTTATTGCTATGGGAAAATAAATGCAGTAACGCGGTCCACAAAATTTGAATCTAAGATATGGTCATCTTGCCAACATATTTTGCCATTCCCTGCAGACAATAATATAGACTTTTATTTCGAAAATGTAATAAATAAATTAGGTGTTTACTGCATATTTCTTTATTACGGTATTATTTCGGATGTTTTATTTGTATATGTTTCATAACGGTTTTGCACTTTTAGGTTTTTTTTTAGGTTCATTCATGTACGTAATTCGTATTTGCCTGTTTTTGTTGGTGTATGTATATATAAACCCATTTTACTTCGTTAAAGTCAACGGTAATGAAACATTAAAATATTTGTTATCAAGAGAACCCTGTCTTACTTTTCCACATATAAAGCATGTATACATTTGTAGGGTACAGCATAAAGAGAAAGTTACCGCTCTTGGGTTTTTAGGTGTTCACAGGTCGTGTGTGAGCACTGAGACGGATTTCGGCTTAGAAATCAGAAAGTAGGCCGATGGATAAAAGAAGCAGACAAAGCAGTAATATTATTTTTTGCTTTCGTAATAGAACCGTCAATTTTTTTTACAGTTATGAGCGAAGTAAACGTCTGGGGATGAGGACGGTTTTAAGGCCTAACGTCAGGGTGCTCTGTGGGGTCCCAGATTAGGGCCGGACAACAAGCTACGTTTAATAAATCAGAACGAATATACCCACTTCTGTCATTTTAATCATTCAGGATGAGCACTGAAATTTAGCACGAGAATACCGTGAAATAATCATCCACCTGAAAAACGTACTCGTTAACACCGACACTTTGCCCTTAAAGACACGCGAATGTTTCAGTTGCATAACAGTTACGTACTAACGTAACCCACTTTAATTGTTGGTATTATTTTTAATATTAATAACAGCACTCCTTGTGTTTAGTAAATAAGCCATACTAGTAGCAGGCCTATTTACTTAGGCTGAATAATTACTTATTGAAGTTCTCTATTGAAAGCGACTTAAAATAGGTTTTCTTTATTTTTACCAAAATTCATTATCGTATACTAATTCTCACTATTGTTGTTATTATTGTTATGAAGTAGGAAACTGGGAGAATTTGTTTGCCGAATTGCCTTATCGACCTCCATAAGGCCTACAGAAATTCTGTATTAGGCCTATATATAACGGCCTAATTTATGTGAATTAAGAGTGCGAATTTTTACAATTAATCGTAGATTTACCGAATCCATGTGTAGAACATTGATATTTACAGCAGATATAAAAAGACTCCATATTTTATTGTTCGGATTAATGTAAAAAAAAAAGCCTCGATCTACTACGAAAAAGTAGCTGTGGACATTCATCTTTAGATTAGAAATATATCGCTTAAGAAGTCTGGCGCTGACAGAATGTTAACAGATTGTACTATTGCTACAACAAACATAAAATTATAAACACAGCATCACTTAATATATTATCTTTAAGTATAGGCCTAGTTTCAAATAAAATTTAAATTTATTAATTTAAATATAAATGTGTAAATGTTTAGCTTATTAAACAACCGCACATTTATAACCGTAGAGTTACTACTTATTTTTGATTATTCTACATAATAAACTCGATACGTCGTGCTACCCAATCCAACATATGGATGTTTTAAGCCCTAAGTTTGGGACACAGCAGAACGACGTTATTTCAGCAGTTTTATAAATAAAAATTATAGGCAATAGAAGAGCTCAGGCAGAGACCACGTAGGATATTTAATGTACGGACAAAGCAAAACGCCATGTTACCTTGAAAACTGTGCACTCAACTATTTTTCAGAAGGTGAAAATTTAAATGCTCAGCGCAAGGTCTTCAGTATTACTGAATGACCGCTGGTTTCCTGGTATCGATCATTTTCTAGGGTTATTTGTTCAGTGTCAGTATCAATGTCGATGCCAATTCTCGGTTTGTGAAAACAAACCCTTTACAGTGTCGGGTAAGATGCAAGAAAATACGAAAACCATAAAATTTTCTGATACTGACATTCTTAAAAGCCCGGGTGTGACACGTGACACCGCGTTGGAATTCGTGCTACAGTGTCATAAAGTCTTTAGGCCTAAATATTCCAGGGACACATCTCAAATTAATATCACGCACAACGGCGAATGACAGCGGTTACTTCATGAGAAGATCACAAGCTGTGACGTATCCAGAGGACGTCAGCTTGATAAGTCTCGGTGAGGCGCTTCTCCGCACTTATGTTGTGGCAGCTGGCGGATGTTCAGCGATCCCTCTCTGGCTGTTATAGCAAGGAAAACAGTAACGGTGCAAAGTCATTGGCATCTTTCAGTATAATGTGCATGCTGCAAACCTTCACACGACAAACCATCAGCGGAAGTTTAGTATTGTTAACCAAAGGGTCCTTTTGCTCGATGCCATTTTAGCGATGACTGTCATGATTACAAATATTTGGCCTGTAATTTACCTTTTGGTTTTAGTTTTCGGTTTTGAGATATGTTGCTGTTACGTCAACATAAATATGATATCCAGTTTAAATGGCTCTACCTGTAGCCTCCATAAGATTTAGCCCTGGTGATGGATAATATTCAGCAGGCCTACTAACTAATATTCGGGCCTGTGACAATCTGAAGTGCTACTGTCAGACTTTTAACCTTAATATCTTTCATTACCAAAACAACAAAGCCGGAAAGTTTATTATTAAGAAAAAAAAACTACATAATACGCGTTTTTTTGCATCCCCACTACGATTTGGTAATTTTGTTTCTAAGGTAACCAAAACAGTTTATGGGAATTTGCATGAAGAGGCCTGCCTACCTAGTGTTTCCGATAGTTTGGCAAGAAGGCCAGAGAAGAAGTTTGTCTGGCTGCTGTCCGAAATTCCTAAAAGAAAAGTCATAACGCTGGTGTTTTAAATGCGTAGCTAGGCCTATTATAAATACACGTAGGCCTTTTATTACCACAGCATTGCAATCTATTCAGTATTAAAGCTTCATTTGAGTAGGTCTATTTTGTGTGGAAAATCGCTTTCTTACACCTGAATTGTAAGTTCAGTATGGGGCAAATTTGTATTTTTTTTTCTGGATATATTTGACCAGCAGATATGTATTTGTATAACAATACTCATAATTAAAGGCGATATCCTGTTTCATGAAAATAAATAAGTAAAATAGGGCGATATAATCTTTTGAATACCCATCACTCTGCCATCGGTTAATCATTAGTTTTACTTTAAAATGTAGGAGGTCATATATATACATTTCAGCTATTTTGACAAAATACATTATACCATCTTCGTCAATACACTAAAACCTATCAGCATGTCAACTCAGCATACTGTGGCCCTCACATCATCATGCTGAGTATACAAAGTGTGGAGTATTCATAAATGGTCTATAACGCTCATTTTCTTTAATATCGCAAAACTAACTCTCCAAGCGTCGAACATTTCGCTCCACAATGTTTGCCCCATTGCCGTATCACATCGGATGAGTATTCTTAAAATGGGACACTTTTTTGAAATTTTGCTTTCTGGAAGAATCATCTGTGTCTTGAATCCTAACTTGACATCTTTCTAGATACGTTAATGCCCCTTGAACTCTATATGGTAGAGAAAATAAAGTGCTACCATATACATATATTAACTGCAAAGTTTAACTGTCCCATTTTGCCTGGTTTCCCATTTTCACTATACTCACCCTAAGCTACACCCTTGACAATTATTATGAAGCTAAACCCAGATTATTAAACACTTCATTAACCAATTAATCCATTGGCATTACAATTTATAGTGTTGCTTCAAGCATGAACAGTTTAGCATCCCTGATTATTGCAGCGCACGTACGATGATTATGCATGTTTAATAGACTGTATATAAACGAGACCAATGTTCTGCAAAGGACACCCCTAATCATTCGTGCTATAAAATATCGTGCAGTCTTTACGGACGATATTTTTCTGAAGGAGTTGGCCATTTTATGAATAATGTACCTATATAGCAAAGGGGTATAGGCTTGGTTCAGCACTGGTATAGGGACCAAATCAGGGCCGAACCCCCAACTCCCATAAACATACGTGGTACCGCCACATGGGCTTGTCCCTACTGTCCATACCCAAATCTACGCTCGTGACAGAATAGTGTCATTTGAATGGGCCGCATTGGGTTAAGGTTAATATGAGATATGAATACCGTGATATTACATTTTTCTTCAAAGCCTAAAATACGGAATCAACTAAGCAAATAATTTAACTCATTTATCAATAACATTAATTAATCGTTTTAGTTAACTACAGCCCAACTCGTTTAGCAGGAAGATTAATAAACGCGATGTTTTATCCTGTCGGCTACCTTTTTTTGTAGTTATCGACATCCACGCCACCTAAGTAAAACACTAAATTCGTTTTAGCAACAGCTGCACCCGCCTCTGGTGGCTGTAGTGTGCGTTAAATGAAAACACTAATAAATTTAAATTAATAAGCCTTCTTATAAGAGGGCGGTTTGCGATTTATTTTGTTGATACGTGAACCGTGTAAACTGAGCTTTCAATATTTATGTTTACACTTCATAAATAGGATTATATTATCTATTGAGACCGGTTAATCCCGTAAAAGAAGTATGTTTAATTCGTCCAGTGCTGCATGGCGGTGGAAGGAAACACCCCCGGGCCTTCAGCTGCGCGCAGGATATAATTTTTGTGAGCTATGCAATTTAAATTCTCTTAAACATGGCAGTAACATCTCAACTTAACTGTATATGAACACGGCTCTACACTTCTTTCTTTTCTACTTGAAACACTGACCTGCTTTCAAGCTGACTGACGACACTTCATACCTAGGACATTTAGTGTTGCAATAAAACAAACGAAACCTAATTGTACTTCGCCGCGAAAATTAAGGCATATTTAAAAGTTTTTGCCCAGTCTTAGGCAATTATAGCTGCAATTAGTGACTACCATCTCGGAAATAATTTACTAACATAATCGCTTATAAATCACTGCCAAATCTGAATATGTCTGTAAAAAAATCACCAATATAGGCCCAATATAATTGCGCAAAATTCAAAATCGGTTTGGATAGAACTGATTATTTTAGTTTAGTTTTTTGTTGCCAGGCCAATATTCCCTCATGCTCTCCTGAAACACGAACAAATATGCATTTGTAGCTGCTGAAAAATGCATGAATACGGCTTAAAATCGCTGTGAATCATGTGACGTCATATGATTTCTAAGAAATAGATGTAAAATCTAGCATAAAATGCAGTGTTTAAAATGCAAAGCCAAAATATTAAATATGCCTATTTTATCCAATATGTAACATCAATAATCTTGGTTCAAGAAGACGCCGCGTGTACTGTAAAAAAAAAGCAAACTTAATTTTAAGTAGCCTTATCGATCACACGAAATATTTGGCGTTGACTCAATGTAAAATGATATTCAGTAAAAATAGGTTCAACCGTAAAAAGTTTAATGAATCAACTAATACTTGTCATCTACTGAAATAAGAGAAAACACATTTAATAAACAGCTTTGTTTGGATGTTTTCAGTGTACTGCTTCATTGATTTGTTCCGATTTTCGTATTAATTCATTTAGCTACATGGCAAAATTAAAAATAAAATTCTATATTCAAAATCAGGTTGCAACACGTCAGTATATTTTTTAAAACGCTCATTAAACTAAACCGACTCCAAAGCGTAACAAAATCGACTGTTATATTGACTCCGTCACTGGTATACTGCCTGGTTCGATATTCGCAAACCTAAGGCTGCTAAGACTTGTTTGAAACACAACATGCTTTTATGAAGTAAAATACTGAAGGTAGTTTTGGACTTTTTGAAATTTAGGAAGCAACTGTGGGAACTCTTGAAATGCTGTATGCAACCGTATAGTTTGTGAAACGTGGATACACATGTCTTTTTAAAGCGAAGTAGCACAGTACCTAATATCGTAGGCCTATAATATACAGCACAGGCCGGTAGTCCATATTTTCTGTATCCATTATCAAGGCCTACTCGCAGTGTAATATAAGGAATTTATACAACAGCGATGTTATTACATTCTTCGACAGTGTTCACTATATTTAAAAATATTTTTGGCATCAAATCATTTGAAAGAGCCGCAAGGAAGCTCCCAAAACCAGCTCCATCTGAAACAGAAACAAATTATTGCCTTGCTCCGTCCCTGGAAGCAGGTAGCCTATAGCCCACATATATCCCAGGTAACCGGGGACGTGCAAGTAACCTAATGTACGCGGCCTTGGTGTAACTGTAGAACTTAAATGTCATATTTATGTGAATACATTATTTTGCAATTAATTATTGTCGATCAGAAAAAAAGGCACAATTTACATTGCGGGGCATGAAAATTTCAAGTTAATTTTTCTGTTCCGTAGTAAACGTAGGCCTATATGCTAACCTATAATTGAATTATAACGATTTCAGAATAAAAGTACTTCACATGCATACATGCGTCACATGAACGGTAATTACTATTACCAGCTGTTGTTTTTATATTATAAGGATCATTAAATACACAAAACATATAGGCTGCGATCGGATTTTTTTGCCTTGAAACGTATATAAGGAAAATTAAATGTTTTTAATACTAGATTTTGCGCTGTAATTAAATAAATGAAATAAGTTGTACTCTAAATCTTAATTTAAACTGCGTACAAAATCCGATTATTTAAGTTATAACGAATGTTTGCTTTAATAATTGCAAAAGATGTTTCCAGTAATCTGCCTTTGATTGAATTTTAATCAATAATATATAGGCAAATATATAGGCTAATGTAGATCAAATCTATGAAACACATGTCTGGAATCTATATAGACAAAAAGAGTTATGAAGTCAAATTAATTTATTTAGATAATTCATTCGCACATTTATGGGTTTACTATATGTATACAGTGTTTCTTAATGAATTGGGTGAAACATGAGTTTCACACCCAAAAAAAAAAATACTCGCATATAACTAGGCCTGTACTGTACACACACACCTGAATTGATATATAAATACCATATCTGAGTCCATGCGAGTATACAAAAATGGGGCAGAGTGGTAAAAAGTCGAACATATTCATCGAACTGATTTTGCAGTGTGGCGGCTTTTCCAGTGGGAGAAGCAGGCAGGGAGCCCGCGGGAAGGATTTGTCGCAGCCTGCGCTGGATCTGCAGAGGCGGCGTCGCAGTACCCGGGCCGTTAGCGAGCTGCTACTTTCACGAAATACTGAGCCATTGTGCACAATCTGCACGCCCAAGGAAACTCACCAACTGCCAAAAAATGTTATAAGGTCGCCTTATAAGGTACGGGAAAAAAAATGATGGCGGAACTCTTTACTGTTAAATATTCGCATACGAAGTCTGTGGAAATTTACTGAAAACACCAATTATATCCAGTGCATTGGCTCACTGCTGCTCCACTAACAGTGTTTAGTTAGCTAGCGAAACGGTCATGGGGTCCGTGGCTGATCGATCCTGCTTTTCAATAAGCAATTTCTTCCCACCGTAATGGTCTGGTTTGAAAAACCAGTATGGGCAATTAAACAGAGAAAACGGCATTATTTATATAAATTAGAGAGATATTGTGTGTATGATAATAAAACTCATATAAACAAATAAACATTTTCGAATTACTAAATATTTTGAATAAAAACTTGATTTACATTAAAAATCTCGTCTTTAACGTAGCATGACATAAATGCAGATTCATTGTATAATATCCTGTGAAGTTGTATCCTGTTTGATACACTGTCATGAGGCTGTACTGATTCATATCAATATCTATCTATCTATCTATCTATCTATCTATCTATCTATCTATCTATCTATCTATCTATCTATCTATCTATCTATCTATCCTGTAACTGTAAGCTCCACCATATCTGCTCCATCTTCATTTACACCTTGACTGATGGTTCACATGAATTCTGCCCAGTCTATTCAGCACGATTCAGGATGGGCTTTCCTGACCGCTGAGGACATTCCCAGTCAGTTGTCAACAGGAGCCCCTCTCCAACTACTCTCACCTAAATCTCTTAATGGTCCCGTGTGGAGGATGGATGTGTCAGAGATGTCCATCATGTAGGTGGGCGGAGTCGTCTTTGTCACAGGCCTTTGCCTTCTGAGGCCCTCCTAATGGGTTTACTCTGCTAATGAGCCATTTTTTAAAATGCCCCTTTAAATGTGAAAGTTTCCACATCACAAAGCAATCATTTAGCAAAAAAGTGGTGGGGTGGGGGGATGGAGTGTGAAACAGGAAACTGGTGTGTGAAGGCTTCTGCCTGAAGTCATGACATGAACTTATTAACTTGACTGACACATTAAATATATTTAATATCCTTTAGCCAAAAACACACTTTAATCTTGAAAACCACTTTAGCATTTGCTATTACATTGATTTTTTTTAAAATTTAAATGTTGATTAAGGTAATGATGTTTTTAAATCATGCAGACAGGGCTAAAAGTTAAAACAGGTTTGTAATTTCCATAGTAATGCAGTTTCTTTGGCTCTTTTTTCTAGCCAATTGCGTGCGAGGTAGAGCGATTTCCTGTGGCGGACCAGCAAGCCGCAGCTCTGTAATCATGCGGGGCATTGCTGGTGCAGATTATGCACTGGGGCCTGGGTCACGAGAAGCACTCAGGTGCACGTGAGTAGCCAAAGCACATGGTAAGAGCTTGCATGTCAGCTAGCAGCTGAAGGTTTTGGTAAAAGAATTAATTTGGGCAGTATGTGATGTAGCTGCATAAAAGTATTAATGTGACATAAAACAGGAATTAGACCAAATATTACTTTACTAGTATGTATATTTCTATAAGGTTAGCACCTCAAGAGTTGTGGATTCACTTGTACACACACACACACATACACACATATATAATGTCATTTTGCAGTGTGGGTTCTGCACTGTGTTACTGGACTCTAATGCTGAACAATCCAGCTGACTATCATTATGACTCATCACACACTCCTAGATATCCTCTGTAGGAGCCAGGTAGTTGATTAACAGACACAGATGGCGGGATGCTTTTCAGTAATTTCCGGAATGTACAGGCGTGCTGTAATTTACTGTATGGACGTCATATTAAGTGGCACAGGCTTCTGGCTGGATCTGATGCGGTCAGTTAGCTATTCCGCTCATCTCTTAACGTAGCTTTGCCTGCCGTTTAAACGACGAGCTTCTGGAGTTCGGCGGAACCACCAACCACCAACACGGCCTTGAACGACTTCAGTGTCGAGTAGAGTTTCCACGTTTCAGAATCATGTTCGCACATGGCAAGGCACCACAAGGCTTTTGTTCTGAACAAGAGTTGCCCTTCAGCCCGATACGTGCTTTTAGCGGTCATGTGATACATAACAGACGGCTTGGGACTTACGTTTGGGTTGAGACCAGCTGCTCATATTCTGCTCTGAATGACTACATCTAGAGGGTTGCTATTCCTAATCTCAGGTTTTCAAACCATGCGGCTGGGATAGAACATCTGCCCTACCTGCATTCAGACTGCTGAATGGCTTGTTCAGGAAGCCAGGCCCCGCTACGCGTTTCACCCAGATCATGGTAACGCTTGCATAATTCCCACCCACAGGACACATTGTCTCCTCGCATGCTGGCATGCAGGCCTGTCCACGAGCAGAGATTTTATGCCAAAATGTTATAAACATGACATGCAAGGTCGACAGCAGGAAACTGCTCGTTCATTTTTGCCATCATGGAAGAACCTTCTTACATAGTAATGATATTTTCCACAGGGCAACTTTTTGAGCAATGTTGCCGGGCAATTTCTAACCAGGTGAGAAAAAGAGCAACTCATCTGCATCTGGATGATCACAAAAAGTAGCCGATCAAAGATTTTCAAGTAGAAATTTGTTGCCCGATTTCAATGGGAAGTTGCCCTGTGTATCATCACCCAAACTTATGTGTGGAACTTCCATTATTCGACCCTTGTTTATTACTCACCCATCTACTACAGTCACATGGGTAATGCAACATAACCTCTATTTCTGCGGCTGCCAAACGGACGCTACCGCACAATTAATGAAAATGGAGATACTCGCTTAAGGTCATTAATCAAATCAAGGGCAAGCTACTTTGCCGTTGGATTGAATCTGGGCCAGAGAAGTTTCCAAACATACCTTCTGGCTTTTAGTGAGGAGACCAACACAAAACCACCCTGTTCTGCATGAACAGGCAAGTAGAAGATTGTCAATGCAGACCTTCCCACAGTAGGATGAACTTCTAACGATGAAACTAATAGTGAATTAAACCACAAAAGCTCGCTGACTATGAAGTGTGACCACTCACCTGAAAGAGGTTAAGGGATATCATGTTCATACTACAGAAATGGGTGGATTTTAAAGAATGCATTTATATATTAACATCACCCAGTGTAGACCTTGCTAGTGACAAATGAGCATATTCCATACACTGCTGAATTTACACATTTAAGTGCTGTCATGTGCTCAGGGTTCCTACATGGTTGAGCAGAGTATCTGGTGAAATCCCACTTTCACTGTAGTGAAAATGAAAGTTCAGAGGACATTTTTTTGTCAGTTATTAGTGGAGTATTTGCTCATTTTGGTTCGTGTTTATTTGTGTAGCACTAAAGTAGAAAAAAAGCAAAAAGAATTTGCCCTGAAGAAAATTTATTAATGTCTGAATTGTTCATATTCCTGCATGTCATCAGATTATACATTTTCAATTTTGTTTTAAACAATTTAAACTTAATTACTGTTTTAAGGATTGGCGATCTTCAAATAGGTGATACGTTCAATTTTAACACTGGAGAGACACTTTGGACTTAAAACGAAACCACAGGGGCTAACAGAATTTACACGGATGCCATTCATGCGTTTGTCTTGTTTTCTGTAGGTAAAGCGACCTGAATTCATAAAAGCTAATATTAATGTTAGGTTAAGTTTAGGGAATCAGACCTCATAAATATTACATAATCAATAAAAATATTTATTTAAAAGGAATTATTTTTGTGGAGTTTTACAGCAAGTATGCTAAACTGCATATTTTACAGTTCAACTATCAAAATGCAAAAAAGTAATAATAAATATATAAAATACAAATGTATTTTAGAAATTTTAATTTGTTATTAAAGTGACTATAAAGTTGGCTTATGAAATGTGGGAGGAGGGAACATTCCGGGACTATATGTACTGTGTCTGTAGTAGCAGCACAGAATGAACATTAAGGCAACGATGCTCATGTGAGAGAGAGACACTGAGCTGAGGAGGGAAGCATTCGAAAGCTAAACGACAGACTGTGCTGCATTTTGGTTGAAACGCTTCAGTAGAACATGAACCTCTAATGTACCTCCAGTTGCGGGACGGAGCCTTTTGGGGACGTTTTAAAGCTATCAGCTTACACTCATGGAGATGAAGGCAGTAGATACCCAGCAAAACCTGGGACAGCAGAATGACTTGAATAAGGACAGTTTTCTACAGGGGGGGGCAGTGATTATATATATATGTATATGAACTATACTAAAGTCACACGACTGTCAGTTGTGGGCCAGAGTCACATCTATTCCGTTCAGGTTTAATTTCGGGACAGAATCAGGGTACAAAGGGACGGTCATTGAGCATTAAGGCCGTAACATGACTCGTCGCGGGGGGGGGGGGGTTGCTACAATGAGGGAAAAGTGATGAATGAGGGGCACTGATAGTTAGATCAGTTAAGATCAGACACCTTCTGGTCAAACGTGCTACCCAGGGGTGCATTTCCCAAACAACGACAGAAGTTAGCATTAACGATGTATCGTGCCACGGTAGTAGCTAAAGTAGTTAGCAACTATGGGAAACTCATCCCAGACCCCAGAGTTTACATACCAGGCCCTGAGTGAGCAACTTGTTCTGCAATAAAACCCGAAATCTGCCGTCGTGGAGATTTCCAAGCTAGTGACAGTCGAGAGTTTGGTCGCAGGTTTGTGGATTTGGTACAGCGAGGTATTTTGGGTGGAGGATCTTCATGTCACGTGACCCATATTTAGGTGGGGGGGGGGGGGGGGTGATGAATGGAAAGGAGAGAAAATGCATCATCATCTTACTTAAGCTGAGATGATATTGCGAGTGAATTGACTCAGATTCCGACTTGTTCTGGGAGGACATGAAAGACCCAACATCCCCCCCCTCCCCCACACTCATGCTGATGCTGACATCATCACCGCATTCGCCCCACGCTTCCGAAGGGTTTGCGTGACGCTGCTAATAGACCATGCGGATGGCCACTGTAGAGAATGTCACCTCTGATTACCAGGATCCCCGGCTCAGGGACGCCTCGCTGAGTCCCATCCATCCATCCATTCTCAAGCTCCGCCCCCTTCCCATCTCCATTTTCCACCTTCCTTAAGTCAATCTCTGCATTTCAGAAAATTCCAAATTCATACCTGGCTCCTTCCAGTTAACTGGCAGTTTAATGTGCATGTGTGTTTTTTAAGGTATGTTATTAAGTAGCTATTAAAAAACAAACAAACCCTGTGGAAGCTGCTGCCTTCACGTTCAGTCTCCTGATACCATAGTTCTGTGTGAGTCTGTGTGGAAACATTTACAGGTGAGTAAATTAGGCCCTAAAATGTCACTGATGTCAGCTGTGAGTCATTTTAAAAGGTAATTCTTCTAATAAAAGTGTATATCAGTCTCTGATGGAATATCAGGCTTTATCTCTCTGTATCACAAATTTAATATGCAGAGAACTCTTCGGTTAAGATAAGGAGCAAGTCTTTTGTATTTGTCATATTTGACAATCGATAAATAATTTAACACATTGAATTGCTATATTTTAACAAATTTTGTGTTTTTTCATGGTTTACTGGAACTTTCCCAGTGTATTTGGTTAAAAAAAAATTTATTATAATTTTGGCACCCTGATTTTACATATCCAACGTCTTTCTTAAACTTTCTCTAGTCATTGTAAATTATTATACTTTTCTGTTATGTCTACAGATATTTTCTTCTGGGTATCAGAATGATTTTTTTGTCATCAAAATATTTCCTACAATATTGTAGAAATTCTGCCACACATCTCACATCCAGCTTTCATGCAATTTCACAGAAAAATGCCTTTGTTTTTAATCAAGATGAAATATTTATGCCATTTTCAAAAATGCAGTTACATTTCATTCTTGGGTCGTGGTGGTGAAATATATTTGTACCTTTGCAGCTATTTGCTTTGGCTTTAAATTTCCAAAATATTTTTTCTTTTTCAATCTTGGATTGATTCTGGTTTGCCATAGGATTGTAGAGGCACATCTGTAACTTATTAATATGAAGCAAAGTATTAGATTAATATGACAAAAGGTACATTTTAAGCAAGGAACTGAACAGCAGCAAAATGAAGATCTTCAGCCTTTTTGATAAAATGGAAAAGAAATCTGACTCATTCATAATACAAATGACATAATTAAATATGAATTAAATACCCTGTAACCCAGTATCGGTCATGTGGTTATGGAACATGTCTGGATGAATAAAGTACAGTGCTGTATTTTCTGGTCTATATCCATAAAGAAACACAGTAACCATATCTAAAATTGCAATAATATAATTTATGAGACACTCAAACTTTTTTTCAATGGACTACAAATCCTGATGCGTTATTTGAAATCTCAGTACAATAGAAAATTCCAGATTCCAAGTTATACCAGGTATGTAAACTTTGACATGTAAAGGTTTTAACATGATTGATGAGTTTAACGGGGTGGGTCATACAGACGGTGTTTCTCCCCTCGCTCATACACGCTCACACCCCAAACCCAGACGAATCAAAAGGAACATAAATAACAATGATTAGTGTAGTTAAGAATGATGTTGAAAAATCATGTGAAGCAGCCCATTGTGTGCAGGAATCTTCTTATGCAGTACATTGTTTGGAGTTTAGCTACGATGCTCGTTTATTCACTATTTTTCCTTGAGCTTAATTTTGCATAGAAAATGAACAAAACCACTGCACCATTGGTATTATGATTGTCTGGTTAAAATAAAAATCTCTGCTTTACAGTGACATACTTATAAAACTGACATACGATGCGCCCTGTCAGAAAGGAGGGGGACGAGGAAGACTATGAGCAGGAAAGACGGGGCGGGAAACTCACACTGGGGGTGTCGACGGCATCTGCGATCCCAGAGGTCAGCTTCAGAGAAGATCAGGGTCTGCCTCCGGTGCTAAAGCAGATCTTCAACCAGACCCAAAACAGTTTCCCTCTCAAACACTTAAAACTATCACAGAACTAGCTAGCCATCCCATCTGCAGTAGCCTCTAACCCCCCCCCACCCCCACCGCATTAAGAGGTGTCTTTCCTGACAGCTTAGCCCTCTGAGCAAATCTTGACATTTCAACAAGTCCTCGGCTGTCAACACAGTGGAATGTTTTAGGCGAGAATGTTCAATGACTCGACTCGGATTCTCATCCTGATACCTGTAATTCATCACCAGTGAACACCTTTGGTGTTGCTTAGTGAAATATTAATCTTCAGGTCATGTTTAATATTCTTACATGGTAAAAGACACCCAATGACATAACTTACAGATACGAGAGAAGATTTAATAAACAGATCAGGTAATCATTTGATATGGTGATGAAAACGTTCAGGTGATGATTCACATGATACTTTAAAATGCAAAAATAGCCGAGCTCTGGGTCGTTAAACTCCTACGCATAAAGTATGTATATTCTAATCCAGTTTTAGTTTTTTCATATGGTAGGATATTACCAACAGGTCCCAGTGCTGTTATTTGTAATAAATCTTGCAGGAATGTTGCCACCGCATAAGGTAATTTTAGGAGTAACTTCTTGAGATATTATATAAATTGTCCTTGAACATGCTGCTTGCTGCTTTTGAGATTTTTTTTCCTTCGAACAGTCTAGAACGCGTCACATTTTACCTCCTTGAAGCCCAGTGTCCGCACCAACCCCAGGGCCGGGATTTGGGTTTCTCTGAAACGTGTAAACACTTCAGAGAAGAGGGACGGAGCAGGAGACAATGGGTGCAGCGTGAAGCGGTGATTATGTGGGGGGGCCCCGAGAGCAGCGGTGCGATTGACAAAGGAGCGGCCCGACACCAAGGGGGGAGCCACTACCCCTCCCTGACGGATCGACCCCTGATGAGAAAGGTCACCACGCTAATGCAGCTAAAGCAGCACTTTTAAAGAGTCTGGGGGGCAGGTATAAGGTATAAGGTACCCTGCAGGTTTGTCTGACCCCTCCCAGGCTCGAGGCAAACTGCCCCCCCCCCCCACCCACCCAGTATCCTGGGAAGCTTGATGACTTGTGAAGTAATCAGTGTAATGATTGGGAATGTCCTGCACTGGGGGGGGGGGGGTGCTAAAGGAGACTGGGAGGGACCTGGGGGTTAAGCAAACAGTCAGGCCCTGACAGTAATCCCATGACCCCCTGCGACCCCCCCCCCCATCCTGAGGGTCCTTCACCTCCACTTGGGCTCTGAAAGGCAAAGTACTCCCATCAAAGAATAACAGTTTGTCTTAGGAAGCTGAGAACTCCATCTACGGCCGGGGTGGTATTGACAACCCATATAGGGCTTGATAGCGCCCCCTAGAGCCCCCATCACACTATGCAAGTTCCTTTAATGACTATTCAGACTTTTCCCATTAAATGGGCGGCCGACATGATCTGCACTGTACATTCTCAGACTGAATCCCCAATTTCTGGGACAACAGCTTCCGGAAGGTTCTATTATTTGGAAGAATGGTCCTCTTTGGTGCTCTTCATGTGGCTTGATCATACTAACCCAGGCCCCAGGGGCCAAGATCGCAGGACAGTATTAGAGACTTCACCGTCACAACCCAGAACCACATCCGGAGTGCAGCCCGGGTTCGATAATGAAGGATCCGCTTTCTGGTTCTGGTACCAGTTTTATAGGGAAAATTTCAGGGAAAATTCCCTGAATTATATGCCCAATGCAGAACCTTTACCCAGCTGATCACGTGTGTAATTTTTAAACGTAAAAAAAAAACTAATTTCAGACATCAGATTTTTTTAATAGTCAAAATCAGGGCATTTTATAAAAAATACCCTCCTTCCTGCCCATAAACTTGCAATGAAATAATCTGCACAGTGGATTATTTTCTCCGAAGAAAGGCACCGTACCCACTGACATGGCGGCACATTATGATGGAGCAGTTTCTAGTGAGAACCTTCCCCTCCAAGTCCATGCCATTGACCACCACAATCACCCGGTTTCAGGGCGCCCCCTCAGCATGCATCACACAGCATAACAGCATTGTGTGCTTTCATTTTGGCTTCATGCTTGTGGTGATGCTGACCAACCTTTACGGCTGAGGAAACAGTGCACCTGCCGTTTCCCCTCTGCTGTCCGCACAGATTTTCAGGCCGCAGAATGAGGAAAGATATCCGAATGTGATTAGAAGATAAAGAAATGGAATGCAAAGGGCCTTCTTTGCCAAAGAGGCGTCCCTTACATTGCCTGATTTTATTTTAATTATCAATATTGCTTGCATTTGCATTCATTCACCTGAAAGGCTCACAGCCTCATTCGGATATGAATTGTCTTCCTGCCAATTTCCACCGTCTCTTCTGATCTTTTGTTTTCTAATGGAGGCAATTACATGTTTAGACACAAACAAAAGCTTAAGACACGAAAAACTGCCACACCACTTACCGCTTCTTGATGTCACCTAACTGGAAACGTGGGATTTTGGTCCCCGAGGTTCATGGAAAGGACAGCAAACATCTTCGCCTCCAACTTTCGCTGGTGCAGCTGTCAGAGAAGAATGCGCCCAGCCTCCCGTCAGAAGCCTGTGGGCCCACAGCCTGAAAATGGGCGCAGGCACTTGGTGGGGGAGGAAGAAACGCGTGGCACTGTAAACACTCGCCATTTGTTACTGTTAAACTTTCAACATCGCACATCAATCTTCCTTTTCAGAGGCAAGCTATTAAAAATATATCATCCTAACAAAATACGAAAGCAGTGGACCAAAGGTGTGAAGCTGATCGATGTATCAAACTGGACTTTTGTTTTGTTTAGACGCTCATCTTTTGAGTAACATATCCTTTCTCCAGTCAGCTAACACAAACCCCATCACCACGGAGCGTATTCAGAACAGAGAATTCAGGCAGGTGCTGACAGATGGTCTATTCTTATGGTCTATAGTAGCCGTTTTAAGTTTTGCCCCTATATCACCAAGTAATGGATTAATGGGCCCGTCTTTCACGACACGTGTAGCAAAACTAATGTAAAGGTGTGTGTTCACTGATATACGGGGCTCAGTACACTGGCACCACGGGGACCAGACCCTGCAGAACTGCTTCATGTCTGTGTTTCCTGGGATGAGAACTTAGGGAACCTAACAGTGATAGGAGAAATTCAAAGCCTTACAAATCATTCTCATGGTATAACTGCCTGCCTGTAAAGACAGGACCACTGTAACGACCTTTAACACTGACGGGAAGCTCCCTTTCATCTCATATTTTATAATGTTTCCTAAAAGATAAGATTCTTAAAAACTGGTTTGGTCCACCTGAGATGGTTACTAAGAGATCTGGCCAGCCTCAGGCGTGACCTCGGTTTCTCCAGCGGCCGATTTTTAAGCAGTTGGACTCCATAACTCTCTCTCATCCATAACGCTAATCTCTGCCTGTGACTATGTGGTGTATATAATACTCCAAAGTGCAATATTTTCTGTACGGGTGAGACCTCAAACTACTATAGATTCATGTCCCTATTAAACTGCTATATTTGACATAAATCTAAGACTTCTTGTATTTATTGTGTGTTGACACTGTAGCACTAAACTGTCACGGCGTGTGGTCCATTGACCAGGAAGGATTTTCTGTTCTATTGAGCCGTCCTACTAATACCAACGCTAATAACTTGACATGGAACTCGTTCATTTTTTAAAGTGTTTTTAAAAGATTGCATGCAGAATATTCGGATTCTGATACGAGTTCATTGGCAGATTGTACAATGCAACAGATTTCTGGGATGACAGCCCACTCCTGCCGAGGAATCAGGGTCCGCATGCTTCACGGACGGCAGCGCACCTGCGGCCTGAAACACGATGCGACTGTTTAACTTACACTGAGTTCTGGCCAAAAAAATTCACGGCAAACTATCCTTTTATGTACAAAATACCATCGACCGCATTTTTGGTTAAAGATCAAATCAGACCCCTGATCCCCTAAATAAAACCATCCCCCAGTGCCCATTATAACCAGCGAAGCACAGGTGGCTGCAATTTCTTGTGTGTGTTTAATCTGTTCCGGTTCCCTTGAAGCTGCCCTTATCATCACTAGCGTCAGACCATCAGACCATAATAAAAGGAAGATCCCTCACAAGCACTCAAAGGGTTTTTTTTTTCTTTTCCTTTACCTTGGAACAAAAGTCTGTAAACACACACGTCTGCCGAAAGCATGCTGTTCACCTTCCACTTCCCTACTTGATGGTCTGTTTGTGTAAAAAAAATAAATTTTCTAGGATCCTTTGAACAGGCAAGACTATATTGGGGGGTTCCTGTAAGATCGGCCCAGGCTCTGGGGGGGGGGGGGGGGGGGGGGGGGGGTCCTCTAAGCTTGTCCCAGGCTCTTACCTGCCTTTTCCCAATTCTGCCCCCTTTCCAGATTATAACCTGGGCACATTGTGGGAGACCCACGCAAATGGCCACTCAAGCGTGCATGATTCATATTTGCAGAGGAGAAATCAGGTGCAGAAACACTGAAAAGCAGGTTTGAGCTCAAGCTGTGCATCATACTGTATCCGTCTCTGTTGATGAGTCAAAGACATTAACGATAAACACATCAATCAATCTGTCAGTATCATTTTGTAACAGTAAATGAGTTTAAATAGATTCACAGAATCACACACCAATACAGCAGCTGTGTAAATGCGTGGCCCATTCCCGCAATTGCATCCAACCTTAATCTACAGCTACCCTTGCCTGCGCCACAGTGCCCCCTTCTGGTGGGAGGAGAGACATGACTCCATATTCTAACCCCAGACACAGTCACCTTACAGCCATGCAACCTCGAGGCACATGGTGACATGATAATGTGCTGATTTAGGTGAGGGACACGATGGACCACAATCTGTCACTTAGAAACAAGGGGACACTGGAAACCAACAGAACAAACAAATCATGTAGACTGCATGTTATGTTCATTATGAAGCACTGAAAATCATTTAATGGCAAATCATTACTAGGAGATAAATTTCATTAGACAAAAAAACAATCACATAAATGGATCCTGGTTACATGAGAATA